ATTTTGTTGGTATTAACGTTGAATTTTAAATAATAATAATATTAACGAAATATTTGACACATGGAAATTAAATCTTTTTAACCCTCAGCCGTCCCTCGTGTCTATTTCACACATTTTTCCCTTAAGAAATGATGTGACTTTTAATTTAGAGAAATTGCAAATTTAACTATTAATCTCTTCGTTATATTAATTTTTGGCCACTTTGTCAACTTATACCGATTTTATATCTCCAACAGTTTCCGAGATATTCGATCGAATACAGTTCACTCCCCTAAATTTGGGATCTCTTTACACCCCTTCAACATGAACGATTGCAGATAAAAAAGATTGTGTATCAATTATTTTAATAAAAACTACAATCTCACAGATTGTCATCAAAATCGGTGATTGTCAATTCGGTATGTTCCCTTATTAGAGGATAATCGCGTAAAATCGACATTCTATACATTCAAATAATTATTTAAACATTTAATGTCTCAAGGGCACCTTTTCCCCTTATCCAATCGACCTCAAACTTCACACAACTTATTTTTTTATCAAATAGAACTATTTCGGGCGTTGGCACGAAAAAATTCCAAAGTTGAAAATAAGAGCCACCCTAAGTCTCATTATTCCGGTGTATCGAGCCTACTTTGCGGGGGGTCGTGAGCGTTTGTCGATCATTTGACAAAGTCACGAAACCGTGAGACCGATAATTCAGCGGGCTTCCGGTTCTATTAAACCATCCGGGGGAATTTTCTGGTTCGCGATAGCGTGCACCGCGGAAGAAAGTCCAGGATCGGTGGCCAGCACCCGATTATTCATGATCAATGACGTAGAACCCCGTCGTCCAGGAATCCCGTGGTAACTGTTAACGAGCCGCGTTTCTGCCATCGCCGCCTCGGGGACCCGTTAAGAAAGTCTCTGCTACGCCGGTTCTTCCATCTGGTGATACGGCACAGGTACACACGTACAATCTCGAAAGTCTCGTTATTAATACGACGGCCAATTTAACCGGGCACGGTTCTATTGAAGGAACGACTCTTTAATGCCCGTGGATCACGAACGTCCCGGTGAGAGATCGGTCGAGGGACGATGAACAAACAGAGAGGTGGCGGTTTGGGTATAAGTATGGAACTACAAAACGATTCCAGCATAAAGTAACGTAGTTCCTTGAACTAGAGACAGACTATTTTTATCGTTCTGGAATTTCTCGAAGAACCTTGACTTCGTGTTCTGGAGCATGGTTTAACACTGGAACTACCACTCCAGTTAATAGACTCTTGGAACGATAATTACAATGTTAGAAGAATTGATTTTCTCGGGGGTTTGACAACTTTGAAAAGGTTATTACTAGATTCCGGATTTTTATGCAAAACATCATTTTATGAAGTGATTTACGAAGGGAGGAGTAAAAATAGAAAGGTCTTTCCTTTTTCGGAGATTCTATTGGGATAGAAATAAAATAAACAATTTATCAAACTCTATCGAATTTTGATTCTTTGCTATATTTAACGTAGTCATACATGCTATAAATGCATAAAATCCGCAGGCTAGTTATCATGATTATCGATCTGACAGAAATGAATACACTGCGTGACATAACTATAAAACTACTTTCAAAATTTGGAATCCTTTTGTATTCTGGTTAAAATAAAAACGGACCATCTTTTTTTCTAGGGAATAGAATCTATTCTTTTACTGGAGATATATTATTTTTCAACAGGATTTCCGACATGGCGTACTTGGTTCGTTTTTATTTTAACCACAGTACATACGAATTGAAAATTTCAAGGTGGTTTTATAGTTATACCACGCAGTGTGTAACGTCTATCGTTGGTCGTTCTAGTGTTAATCGTTTTCTATCGAGACCTTTTATTGGACTCTTTAAGAGGGCGATAAATAATCTGTGGTATCGCAAAAAAGCTATGAAAAGTCATTGACTTTCTATCGTGGAGAAAGGTTCCTGCTATATGTAGAGAAATAAATGAAGTTCTACTTTGTAATGAAATCTTTGTAGCTACAAAGGAATGTTTTTACGATCTTGGAAAATGTACATTCTAGATTCGGTATCCTTTCTGACGATATTAAGATAGGTGTTGAAAGCTATCGCGAAACACCGCGGTCTAGACTTCGTTGGATTCCTTGACATTTCCCGACGAACTGTTTGGAAATCATTGAAGGACGTGTGGAGTGCTTATTACCGGTCGTTCATTCAGTATTTCTCACTACAACGAACAAACTAAAATAACATAGGAAATTTTTTCTTCTTGAAACGATTTCAATTAATCAACTAACCGATAGTGTAGTAATATAAATTAATAGTAAACCACTGCTTGACACCAGAATTAATATTTTTATGACTAGATCGTATCGCGGCTATGACAATAATTCAGACTAATCGTAAAATTAATGTCAGACTTTTCGATCTGTATTCACTATACAGGGTGTCCCAATATTGATGATACAATTGATGATACAACCAGGGAGGGAGTGATTCTACATGAGAAGATAAGTCAAAAATAAGGAATACATTTTTTTCGTTTGAGGCTTCGTTTTTGATTGGTCGTGGTATTAAGTAGAAACAGTAAGCAATGTACAGACACACCAGAGAAGTCTTATTCAATTGCACGCGTATCCAGCAGATTTTCAAATTCGATCATTTCGAAAACAAAGCCTCAAATTAAAAAAATTTATTCCATATTTTCGGCTTATTTTCTCATATAGAATCACTTCCTCCCCGGTTGCACCATTTCAAAGTGACTATACAATTTTTGTCAGACTACAATGTAGATTAGTTTTCGAACAAGAACCAAAAATCTTGGGGGAAGTTTTTTCCATCCATTTTTATCCATTCTTCGTTCCACCATTTCATTATTGCATTTATTAAGTACATTCGAAGATCCTTGTTGCACATTGGTACAGTTCAGTCCACAATTTATCGCCTACTTCCCTACAGTTTCGCTATTCCAGTAGCACGAAAAGGCGCGGCTGGGGTCCGATAGACCCAAGACCATCCATCTTCGTACGGGGCCTGACAGTATGCCAGTCGCGACTAATGGATAAATTCAGGCCTGGGTGGTCCCTCGATCATCGTTTTTCGCGGCACAGGGAACAAGGAAACGAGTTGTTCAATGATTCCGCGCTCCCCAGGAGTCCCGATGTGTTTCGCCGTGTGTGATTTATGAGACTTCAAGGGGGCAATAGGCTCGAGAGGGAGGGCAAGAGACTTTCCATTCTCGCGAATAGTGCAAGACGACGTTGGAAAAAGGGACGCGCGAAAAATATGAAAAAATAGTCGCTCACAGGCTGGCGAGAGAGTTCAGCGGGGGATACCGTGGCGATCAGCTGATTGCCCTGACGGTTGACCCCACGAGGTCAGTCTACTTTCTACTTCTTGGCGTTCCGACGGAAATCGGTGACGGTTGCGGGGCGGTGAAGAGGCACGAAAGGACAAGCATGCAACGCCGATCGTAGTGTCCCTCCTCTTTAGAGGCCGGGAGAGTACTTTCTACGAGAAGAGCAATATTGTACGTGTATCGTTGGACGATCGTTGGATGCTGATGAGTGAAAACGAACGGAGGCGGTGAATAAAGAGTCGCGCCGCCTCTACCATCTAAAGACTTATTGGCGACAGGAGGACGCGGGAATCTCTCGAGTACACCTGGAAAATATTCCCCTGTATCGTGAGAAGAGATCTCTTTCTCCCTTTTTCGCTCGACCGCGGAGAAAGATCCGGTCGATTTTTCTTTCTTCTATTTTTTGTAGGAGAAATTGTGATATTTTATGATTTGTTACATAAATTTAAGTGTGTACATGGAAAAAAATAATTAATTGAGAAGGAATAAACAACTTTAAAAAAATTATTTTTTTTCGGTTATTTAAAAAGTTATATACACTTCTAAAATTAAGATACTATGGAGTTATATAGATACTTATAAAATTAATATCGCAGTATAATGTAAAACAAGACTCACCTAGCTCCTATTAATTATACGCGTATATTTTCGTCGATTTAAGACTTGTAAAACGAAATTAACTGTGTCTGGTTACGTACGGCTTTTTTCACTGTGGCAGTCAACGTGTTCAACACGATTTAGTCGCAAGGTAGCATTAAGTGCATAGAAATTGTTCACAGTTTCTTGAAGAAGGACATACACCATACAAGGTTTTTTAAACAACTTTAGAGATTTCACAATTAAATCGTTGAACATTACATTTCTAAATGATAACAAGTAATAAATACATGTGCAATAGTATGGTAGAAATGAAACAATTTTGTTTGGATTCAAATATTGGATATTTTAAATCCAAGTATAGGAGCCTCGAAAACTATAGACTAAAGAATCGAGTTTTAAACAACATAACATCATTTTTTCTTTGCGATTTCTTGTTCCTTAAGGTCCATGAATAACACTGGGATAGTTAAAAAAAAAGATAAAAATTTAAGTAAAAAAAAATAAAAGTCTTAATTCGCCCGCGATTCGCACCGTGATCGTACTGTAACAGCGGATGGTCAAACGGGGAAACGAGTGGGTACACCATCGGCAAAACATGAAAGTTCCGCGGTTAAGTTGGTCACGCGAGTACGCCGGCATGTAGTTAAGGATCGCTTAATGATCGTCTGAGAAGATCACCGCGCGCGCTGCTACGTGACACAGTTTGCACCGGGGATCTATTCGCCGCGACTCGATGACAATCTTTAAAAGATTTTTGCTTGGTGACTGCTCACACTTAAACACAACCGATTTTCCCCTCATCCAAACACATCCATCCATTCGGTCTGCTGCTGGACCTCCCATGTTTTTTCTTTCAACAGTCAAGAGACGTTACACTCGTTGCTCGTTATACAGGGTGTAACAAAAATGTTGGAGGACCCGGAAATAGGAGACTCGTGAGGTGATTTGAAACATTTTTGCTAAGGAAAAACTTGTTTCAAATCACCTCACGAGTCTTCTATTTCCGGGTACTGCGAAATTTTGTTACACCCAGTATATCCCATGAAAAGCCATGATCTTACGATGGTGATAACTGTCGCTACTAAAGCCATCCTCGTATTCTATCTAGTTTCTTACGACACGCCGGAATCGACCGCCTACAGTCCTGTAATCGAATTAATAGAGAAAGCTGTAATAATCTCGTTCCACGACTGGTTCGATGAGAAAAAACAAGACGGAGAGGATCGCTCGTCTCGCCCGTTAACCCTTTAAGTGTTTCATTTCACATTAAAAAGGTGCACTTGCGTGTTTAATTACGTATTTCTAAACTATAACGAATATAAAAGCAGATTAAATTCATTTACTGCGAAATTGACGTAAATTATAATAAAATAGCACAAATTACTCTTGCGACTTGAGTGCCATGCTATTATAAAGAAAAGTCAATGCCTTATCGAAACAGCCCTCGTTCATACACCTGCTGCTGCATATTTCTTGTTTGTCGACTGATTTCTTTCTCGTTATATGTTTTCTTGTCCTAATAGATATTACATAAGATGTCAATGTGTCATACACAAGTGAGAACCACCTTCCCCATAAATTCGAAATATATCGATCATATATGTACATGTATGTTACATGTGTCTTTCGTATTCCTTAATACTACCCACGGACATAACACATCCCAAAATATTCTGAAAATGTGTTGAAATTACGAATAAGTTCTTTTGTTTCACTTAAATCTTACTTCAAATTAAAAATGCAAATTTTGTTGTTTAGCATACTCGTCATTAAAAAAATACCATTCTTTCGGGTATGCTCGACATAAACAAAGGGTTAAACGAGGGTCCCACCTCGAATATCTATGAAAACTTGTCCCCTTCCCTGTCGATTACGACACACACTGCCGATCTCGTCTGTACAATGCCACGCGGACCTGCTTTCAGGGAGTGGCCAGCATTCCGGGCTGTAAAGATCAGCGGACTTGCGATGAATGGAACGGCGGTTTAGGAACCACCCGGAAAATGGACGTCGCGAAGAGCGGAACGGAGGATTACGTCACGGTGGTGAACGTCGAGAGCAGCCAGTCGCAGCCGGAAAATTTCGTCACCGTGCTGTCGATAGGCAGCGGGAAGACGGAGGAGGAACCACCGACGTCCCCGAGCTCGCAGAAGAATCAAGTGAACGGGGTCGATGGACCGCTCGAGGAAGAGGTCGAGGTGTTTCGGCTGCCCGGTGAACGACTTGGATTCGGGCTGAAGTTCGAGGGAGGGAACAAAACGTCGGAACGTGTCAGAAGGCTGTTTGTTCAGAGCTGCGCGGAACAGAGCCCTGCGAGCAGGGCGAAGTGCTCGTGGGGCACTTTGGGAGAGGGTGACGAGGTAAGGGGAATCATTTCTTTTTTCATTTTGTAAGCCTTTTAGCGCTATGAACTTGTATGTATATAATAATCGCTTATATTAACACAAATAAAACCAAAGCCAATTCCTAAAGAAATTTCTTCAAAAATGAATTTAAAAAAAAAAACGATGTACGTGGGACTAAACGGACCCATCGAAAACCGTCCGAGGATTAACAACTAAAATCCTTCCTTCAAACGCTACAAAGACGACTCATTTTCCCCGATGCCTAAACATTTTAATTAGACGCGCGCGTAAAGCCGTCACGCGACTCGTCGCGAGTCTAGGCCTATAATTTTCGAGACCCACTTCCTCCGTTACGATTCCCAAGCGAGCCGGCACGGCGGTGGCTCGTCTGCAGCGCAAAACACCCGTGCAAGAAACCGCGTGTACGTCGTGTCCCCTCACGTGCAAACACCCGGTCACGTTTACCGCGTCTCATTTCCAGGTACTCTCGATCGACGGTGTACCAGTGACACACATGACTCGGCTGGATTGCGTGAGACGATTGAAGGAGTCCCAGCTGGTCATCAAGCTGATGGTCAGGTGCAGGGGAGCTCTCAGGCCTGAGGTGGTCAGCGCCGAGAAAAAGTGTTCACCTGAGAAAAGCAAAGTGCCCCCGGAACTGCCGTCGGCGCCGCCGCCGGTTCCGCCGCGAAAGCTGAGGCAAGCTCGAGGCTTGGCCGACGGCGAGGCTAATCCTAGTCCTGTCAGAAAGTCCTGGAACGGAAGTACCAGGTCGCAAAATGGTTCACTGAACAGTTCGCAGACCAGTTCGCCCGGTTCGCAACCTGTCACCCCGTTGGATAGTAAATCGACCACCTATGAGAGCTGCGAGTCTTCGCCGAAAAGCTCCAATGGGTCAGCGCAAGAGACACCAAAAGGATCGCCGAAGGACCGATCGCCGGAACTCGCGAAATCGAAGCAGGTTCGATGCTTTATATTGTTACTGTTTCCTTTCAGTCGAGGATCGTTGTGCACAGGTGTGCAGGAATTCATAATAACCGTACATACAATTACAGGAACCGCCGGAAGCAATGGTCTACCTGGACGCCAGATCGCAGTGCGGTTCAACGCACGGCAGCACTTCCGACGACACAGGAAGTTCAATGTCCACGGTGATCGACCGGTTCTCGACGTCCGATCGTGTGTCGACGATCTCCACCGCCTCGACCGCGTCGACCACGTCCGAGCAGCCGATGGAATTCTCGCGGATCGATCAGGAATACGATCGATCCTCCGACCGAGACTTCCAATTGTCCAAAACGATTTGCCCTTTCGAGGGCTTGGACGCTGATTATTCCGGGAGTCCACCCGATTACCTGCTTCGACGATTGGCCAACTCCGAGGCGGTGACCCATGTGGAGTCCCGAGGTGAGATCGAGAGGATCACCGCGGTGGTGGCGCCGAACACGGTGGTGATCGAGGAAACGATCACCTTTCAGCCGCCGTTGAGCTTCCAGGACGCGCCGTTGAGCTACGGCCACGAGGCCAGGCCAGATGTCTTCTACACCGCGGATCTGGCCGCGGACTCGACCACACATTTCAGGCCAATTAAGGACGACGTCGAGCTAGTCGAGCGCGTCAACGGAGACGCGTACGATTCCTCGCAGGAGAAACTCAAGGAAGCAAGCGGCAACGGAAAAGGTTCGGATAAAACGCCTCCGCCACTGCCCGCTAGGAATCACGTGAACAGGATCACCGTCAATCAACCGACCAGCAACGATCGTTCGAGCGAGCAACGAGCACAAAAATCGTCTGAACCGTCCAACACGGTGTCTTCGGATAACCAACAAGAGGCACCTGTTCTGCCACCTAAGCCGTTGCCCAGAAGGGACATCAAGATCAGACGAAAGAGACCACCACCGCCTCCACCTCCGCCAGTCGTGGCAACCAGAGAAGAACCAAAACCCTCCTTATCGCCTGAGCAATCCAAGCAAACGAGTCCAGACGAACCGACCAACCCAAAGGTCGACGTTCCCTCCACGAAACAAGAGGACACGATCGCCACAGGTAACAACACCGAGGACAGGTCAAAGACACTGGAGAGAACAGACTCGGAGAGCAATTCAACGTCGTCGAAACACACCGGTACAGAGAGCGACGTGGACAAGAGAAGGTACGATGAGACCGAAGATACCGAGTCCACGGAGAACTATGGCCCTCCGGAGGACGACGGGCTCAGGACGAACAAGGTGCTCGAGATCATCGAGATAAGGAAGGCGAAAGCGTTGCTCCCGCTCCAGGAAGTCAGTACCGTTCCACGGAAAGAGGAAGAGGACGCGAGATCTGGTTACACGAACGACAGGGTTAATGGGGATCAGGAGAGGATCAAGTTAGAGGTGAACAAGAGGAACGAGAGACCGAAACCGGAAGTCAGGACCGGGGTCACGATTTCAACGGAAGTAGAGGACTCGGAGGAGGATAGCGACGAGGCCACGACGAGATTTAACGAGCCTATAGACAAGTTGTATGATAGACAGTCGAACGGAACTGATCATTTGGATGGGTTCAGAGATGAAGATTCACCGACTGAGAAAGATCTGTTTGGACACGAGGATGATGGCGATGAGTCCTATAGCTCGTTGAACGATATCAATCGGAATGTAAGGAATTTGAGAGGAAATCGAGGAAGGAACGAGAAGGACAACATCGAGGAGGACGACACCAGCGACGAAAGCGACGACGACTATTATTGGCAGAGTAATCTGGCGACGATAGGCGAGGAGGAGGAAACGAATTCGCTCGAGTACTCGACTGCGTAAGTCTACCTCGCGATTCCGTGTTTATAAACACGTTACCTACTGGTGTTTAATAGGTTTAGTCGATCAAACGATTAATAGTCAAGGAAGTATTATTAAATAGTTTAATCTTGGTAGCGAAAAACAGTCATGAGAAATAGCAGGAACTCGAATAGAATAACGTAACAGTTTCTCCTTCAACTCTGATCTAAAGTTTTTTATCTATCAGCATTGAAATTTAAAAGTCTATTAATGGGCTATCGGTCAGGAAATGTTAATAAATCCGAAGATCGAAGACTTGATATTATGTAGAACTCTAAAAAGAATATTGTTATTATCGTTAACACTAGAACAACCAAACCCGATAAAATGACGGATTTCAAATTTGATACTGTCGGAATTTACCTTGAGTTTTAGTTGATTATACAGTTTACATTATACAATACTATGTTGTATTGTATTATATATTACGTAATTTAATTTACTACGTATTCAACGCTGGTAGTTCTAGTGTTAACCCCTTTAGCGGAAAAAAAATTTTCGCAAAATTGAGTATTTGACTACAAATAGCTGAACACAGAATCCTAATTTTTAAACTTAAAAACCAAAAATGTGTTTTTTTCTTACAATATTATGAAAATGAATTGACACGACGACCGTCTTGTGACGTCAAATTGTATAAAAAATTATAAGCCAACGCGGATAAATCCAATCACCCCACTTAAAGGGTTTAGGCACTTCTTACAATCTTCTAGAGGGAACGTACAATCTTATTTTCAAATATCTCAGCAGAATCACGAAACATGGTCCAAAAGTTGATTCTCCAGAAACCATCGAGCAGACTGTGTATAATGTTTCCTCGACAGTTACATCTCTTACATAAATTTCTCCTCGCGACATACCGATGTCCTGCTGGAGATATCGGACGCACAGCCGCAGATCTTCGATCTTTTCGATTCAATACCGAAAACCAGCAATTACACGCAACGAAATTGGTCGCGTCGTATCGTCGGAGGTACCGTGGGGCATCGATATCATTGACAAAATAATCTTTTCCATCGGTATGCCAGGCAATAAGGCCCCGCCGTACGAGCCGGTCCCAATTAGGCGCACGAACTTCCTTAACAGCGATCCGTTGCAAGGCCGAGTCGCGGCGAGCAACGGCAGCGTTCCAACGGTTCGTAAACAAGGAAATATCCTCGTCGTCGGGCGAATTGATAAGGAATCGTTTTTTTTTTTCGGAGCGTTTTAACAATATCTTCGAGCACGCGCGGTCGAGCCTCGCGGAACCAGTTCTCCACAGAGGAAATAAAAGGAGACGACACGCTAATACGCAATGCCAGCAGTCCATCGCGAGAGATACCTAGCCTTCGCAGCTTGATTCACGGAAACTGGTCCTCCGGTTCCTTATTACGACTTATCGAAGTGTACCATCTCTGTGATTTTACTGAAATACGCTTTCCCCCCGGTGATCTAACGTCTTAAGATGGGATTTCCTGTAAGCGTCAGGCGTCTGGGTTTAAACGATGTGCAAGATATAGGGTGTTAACACTAGAACTAATGATGATAACATACGTCTATTTCTATCAGATCGATAAACATGACAAATTTTTCAAAATACACGAATTTATAAACTAACTAGTTTCTTTACTTACATATTGCAAGGGAAGTTGTGGAACGTCAGAGAAATTGTATTGTTGTGATGTTTTAATGATTGCTGTAAGAGTATGTTAATCATTTTGATTGCTTTGGTAGTTTTAGTGTTAATAAAAATGTCGGACTCCCCACAGGGTGGATTCTACATGCAAAATTGCGACGAAAACCAAGAGTGACGAAATTGCGTTCGGAGCTTCGTTTTCGAGTTATTCGTTGTTGGAAATACTGGCGCAGTTGTACGCGTGATATACGTCTGACGCAACGAGTTATTCTACTTGAGAGGCGCGTTTGTCAACTGTTTCACGAGATGATTTCGTGCATTTTGTTTCACTTCATTTATTAGTTTCACATCGAGCCTGTACATGAACTAAAAATCGGCTGTTCAAGTAGTATAACCCATCGCGTCAGACGTATATATTTGACGCATTTTCGCCGATATTATCAACAATGAACAACTCGAAAACGAAGCCTCGAACGCAATTTCGTCATTCTCTATCATGATCTTAACACCTTGTCCTACGATTTTCGTGACGTATGCAGACTCCAGGATTACATTATTGTCGATAGATTTTCAGAAATTAAAAGCATTGTACTTAGCGCAACTGTATTTTTACTGTAAAAGTTAAATATTAATACCAGCAACGTGGTATTTCACATCGATTTAAAGAAACCCGAATAATATTCGTCTTTGTTGAATCGATTTTGAAACCCTCAGCACGAGTCTGACTCGATATTATAGGGCAAGGGGTTAATTTTGTCTCAGTTATGTTGCTTCTCATTTTATTCCATTGCTTTCGACGTGCAACTTCCGCTTCGCTAGTAATTGAGGTGCAAACGCACGTGTCTGACGCGTATAGGAAATTCCACTTCTACATGTCGCGGTGCGTTCGCCCAGGAAGCGATGCAACCGGCGCTAAGTAGGTACAGATTCACAGTACATTAAGTCGGGGCTATCTGCCGTGGCCAGCCGGCGGATGTATTCTTTAATTGTACGCAAATTACGTTTTTTTTTTCCCCCCTGAGAATTTCTCTCCCCGACTCGCCGCGATCGAGACGGCTGCGAACAATTTACAGTTGCAAAACGGTCTCTCACGCGTATTTATAGCACGACCGCGGTGAGCCACGCCCGTTTACACCGATGGAAATTAAGCATCGAGCGTTGCGCGGCTCGACTGGCCAAGAATGTGCCGATTTTTTAACGATTTCGATGGCAGACTTCGACGAGGGGCCCGATACAACGATCGCCTCCGACGAATCACGTGGATTGTATTTGCAATCTGGCTGTCGAAGTGATACGAAAAAATCGAAAGCGAACGATCAGCATTCCGGCACATCCCCGCGAATTCGAACGCGAGGCGGTTAAGTGAAAGAGTGAAATTTCAGAGGGCTGTGGTTAAGCCGGGCTAATGGTACGCTCCGACGGTGGATTCGAAAAATTTCAATCGCTCCCCGTATGGATATGGGTCATCCCGTGCCAGGCCGTCCACGATGGCCGACAAAAAGTTAATTGACCACTTTAGGGCATGGAAAGGGAGTTTCGAATCGCGAAAAATGGGGTAACGCGATCGGCTCTGGCGACCATGTTGCGAATCTACATATTCCCGTTTGTCTGAAAAGTTTCCAAACTGAATTTCCCAGAATGAGTTTTTCGTAAAACCATGATGCTGTTTATCGTCAAATATTAGAAATAGTTTTCTTTTAAAGGGATGTACTGTTCATAATAATTATAGAAATTCTGGTAATCTTCAAAATGGTGGAATGGTAGGAAGTGATACTTTGACAGCAATGGCCTGGTATCTGTTTAATTTTGAAATGAATTATTCTCGAAACTTTATTGTCACGCCTCGTAGACGTCAGGTGTTTCATTTTGTAGAAAATTAAAATGATGGAATATTCTTCTTCTTTTGCAGAAACAACGATGCCAGTGACAACGATGCTAGCCTGACGGACAAGCTCGAGTGTCAGGAATCACCGACGGGCAAGAAAGACACGTTCGCCGCGAACGGTAAGTACAAATTACGAAAATATTGTTCTTTCAGTTCAGCTACATATTTATGGCTCTGTATTATGTTCTTGTAATAGTAACACTATGGATGTTTATGCAAGTTCCTGTTTTCATAGTACGTTTTCGAGAAGTTAAAATCGAAGTCAAAGTCGTTGAGTTTGTTGCAATAGCAATAAATCCGCGATTGTAGTCAAAAAGTGAAGAAAACTTAAGGGCTCACTGAACATAGAAAAATTATACAAATACATATTACGATAAACTGAAGACAACTAGAATATTTTAGATTTCAACAAATTAAAAAAAAAAAATAAAACAATATAGACAAATTATAAAAAATTGATTACAATAAAGTAAATAATACGATTTCTTTTACGATTTCACTCTCAAAAATTACTTTATCATTAATATTTTCCCGGACACAAAAGGAATTCTATTCTTATGTCAAATGTTACATTTATTCTAAACCATAAATGTTACTACCAGCGAAACAGTATTTCACGTCGACGTAAAGAAAAGTATTAATATATATGTTTACTAAATTCACTTTGAAATCGCTATCACATGTCTGACTCGATATTGTAAGACAAGAGGTTAAATATGTTTCCCGAGCGGATCCATAGAGCCATTACTCTTACCTTAATTCGGCCGTCGAAACAGTCGGAAACTTGGCGCGTACGCTGGACAAATTAAAACGCGTCTCCTCGAGGTCAATAGAAAACGATTAACGCCGCCTGGGGGGG